CCCCAAAACCCCAAAACCCCAAAACCCCACAAGATACTTACAATGAATGATTTTTGAGTGATGAAATCAAATTTAGGAATGATTAATATAGTTTGTATCAGATTGCTTTAAGCAGTATGTTTGGTTTGACCTTAATGCCAATGTCCTATAGTCTAATTGGCATATAGATTTCAGCCATTTTCTTTATATACAGATTCTTCAAGTGATTATCAACTATTTTATAGCAAAGCAAAGCTACTTTAGGAGAGAATGGATCTTTGATACATTACTAGAAATCATCAATCAGTGATAATAGCTCATAGTCATCTCCCATATCAATCATCTTCAATCTTGCTTTAAATATGGAAGCTGTTGAGCTGATAGTTTTACTGAGATTCTCAAAGTCTCTCATTGTGTCCTATTAACATTTAAAATCACTTTCAAAAATATACATTAGAGTTCATGTATCTCTTTTAGGATTTAGCGTCAAATAGGTCTTTTTCTAGACCCATCTGAACGAAAGACTCAATGTTGATGTATTTAATAAATGGATTCATTTTTTCTAGGCCTGTTTTGCCGTACTCTTCAAACAGATCCCAAATTTACTTAGATGTGTACTCATAAAATGACTTCATCATCATCTTAAATTCTAAGTAAGACATATAGCCATCGTTATTAATCTAATTAGTGATTTATTACAAACAAATTACTTACATCAACAGCTAGGAATACATCTCTGATAATCTACTCTCGTTCATCCTAGAGTGATTGAAGATTGTCTAAAATAAATTCTGCGAATTCATCAAAGTCTAATGCTTCTCTAACAGTTTTTAAATGTTTTTACTTCTTCATGTCCTCGTTTGAGACTGGAACTTTCATCTTATCAATCTAGATATATAATTAACCCCAAATCAGATAATTAATAGATTTACCTTTTACAGCTTTTGAGTAAGAATTTTTTAAGGATACTTGGTTTCAAACTTTGATTTGAAATAATCTAAAGCTTTATTCTAAAAATATCAATTTAAAATTGGATAAATATGATTACAACTGGAAGTAAAATGATCTCAATGTCATCATCAATCTTAAAGTTAAGAATCAAGTTCGTGAATAAATCTAACATCTCCAGATACTTGGCAAAGTCTGTTGGTTAAAGTTCATTATGTACCTCAATAAATCTGCCAAATAATCTTATTCTTGGAAGATTTCCTTTTTAGCAAACGCAAGATGATATCATCTATTTAAATTTCTTTTCAGCTACATTTTTAAGTCCATACTTATTCAAGAAATTTTCATAAACCCATTCCAATAAAGAAGGCTAGTAAAGTTGTACCTAGGGACCAGTAAACTACTGTTGACCCTATTTCGGTTGTATCTGTGACATTTGATAACTCATTAAATGATCTAAAAATCCTCTTTCTGAGTACATCTGGTAAATCAGTCGCAACAGCATTTTTCTAGGCATTTAATCTTTGAGATTTTTGGGATCTTTATTTATAAGCTTTTTAAGCATGACCTGAGCTGGATGAGAGCCTTACTTGCGAACTCTTGACATTCTTTTGCGACCCAAATTAAAGAGCTAGAATTTAAACGTTTTCCTTCTTCCGCTTTTGTCCTTCTTATTTGAACTCTTTCCACCTTCATTAGCGCTCTTATCAGATTCAAAGTCCAAGTCAAGGTTCTATCCATCTTAAACTGCAGTGGCTCTTCCATCTATGAGCTCTTAGATCTTGTCCTCATCATCATCTAGTATATTTTCTCTACTTTAATTTTTGGAGTTCATCATATAGGCAGCATCATCATCAGATAGTAAATGCATTGCTTTCATATAACTTTGAGCTATTCTATCACTCAGACCAAGTAATTTCATCTTTAGGTCTGCTTAAAGCACTTTGTTCATCTCCTGGCTTTCAAGTTACTAAAGAATTTCATCTATGATATTCTTATACTCCTCTAGCTGCTTAGCTAGTTCACTGACCTATTCCCTCAGCATATAATTATCCATTTCTAAGTTATCTATCTTCTCGTGAACTGAAGTTAGTTCCTTTTCCATTCTTCTATTTAGCTTGTCTAAGAACTTCAATTGTTTTTCCCTCTTACTCATCTCATCACCCATATGCTGTACCTCCTTAGATGTATATTTTAGCTCTTCAACTAGCTTTTTCATGAAGTCTTTGTGTTCCTCGTCACTAAGCAGTTTAGTCATACTCTCTGATTAAAGTAGATTTTTTATTCTGTCTCTTGCCTTCTTAACATACACATCCATTATTGTATTATTCTTTTGTTGCTTTCCGATTTAAAAACTCCTAAGATTTACAATCCCTCCGAAATTCATTGAAGATTAAATTTTCTAGGGTGATTTACGATTCTAGCCTTGACTCTCTCCCAATGAATCGTTATAGATATCAAGATTCTCCTAGGAGTCCATTTCATTGAGTTCTATCTCAAGACTATTGATTAGATCATGAGCACCGATAACTGTATTTCTTCTTCTTATTTCCAGTATTTTCTATCTTTTTATATCATTCATAATTGCTTCATCATCATTAATTTTCAGTTCTTGATCCTGATCTTCCTCATCTTCATTTGTATTCTGCTGATTTGAAAAGCTCGAATCAGTCATGCTCTCGTCTATACTCACAATTATTATAGCAATGGCTTACCAAGGTCTTCAATCAATTAAGGCAGTCTCGTAGTCAATCTTTGAAGCATGGGAATCTTAGCATTTTTATTTGGAGTAGTACTATTAGAGTCAAACTTAGACTGCTCTAGCAGTCTTGGATCAGTAAAGGTTTCCTTATCTCTCATTATCCCTATTTTATGAGGTTTAGCATTGATTGCCACAGATCTATGTCTAATGACCTCAGTTTGGCATTCAATTTCTATAAACTTGTCAATGTTAATACTCTTGAGGTACTAAATGAAATCATCCATATCAGTTTACTTTTCCTCCTCTTGAATTATATCATTAATCGCTATCATCTGGTTAAATTCATTTTCTACTGACTGTAGACTCTTGTTAAGGTCAGTAGCTTCTTTCTTTTACTCTTGGTCCCTGGCTTCCCATTCTAATTGCATTTCTTAATCAATAATTAGTATCAATCTCTTTCTTTCGTCCTCATCTATAGGTGACACAAACACTTCACCAAGCTTTTCAGCTTATTCATAGCACTTCTGGACTAATTCATAATTTTCCTTTTCAATAAGTTTGAATTTCCTTGCGGCTGTCTCAGCTTCTTTTTATACATTGAAGCATTTTTTCTTAAGTTTTTGAATAAGTGTCCCTCTCTAACTCAGTAAAGTCTGTGATTCTTATAAGTCTAAACTCATCATCTCTATATGATATAATTATTATTCAATTAGAAATTACCTATATTTCTTTTCAACTCCTGCATCTAGTGATTATTCTTCTCAATCAACTCATCTTGAATCTTAATGTATTCTTGAACCTTATCAGAAAGCTTCTTCTTGATTTCAACTCTTTTTGCTTTAAAATTTTTACTCATGTTCTCGATCAGCTGGGTATATTAGTCAAATATTTTCCTTAGTAGTTCTCCTCTTTCAACACATTAAACTGAAACTTATCTGCAGATTTCTTCAATGCAAAGGTTGAAAACAACTTAAGTAAGAGATTATTTCTAGAGTACTTTCTATTCATTTACATCTCTGTTTATCAAATTAAGGCTATGCTGAAACCAATTGATGAGCATTATAGCGTCCTATCTTGCTGAGGGTTAGCCCAGATTTTCATGTGAAGAGCCCTGTACCAAGTTCTCCATGCCATAGCTATTTAATTGTTTGGATTTATCTCCTTAGTTGGTTTTGAATAGTGTGCCTTTTCCATACTTTTTTAGCAATGCGTCATTAACTGTTACAAGTTAATTTGGTTTCACATCTATATTTTTAGGATCAAGCAATAAATCTGATGATGGCTCTATTTTCTTTCTATCTTCGTTTGGATTTCGAATAGAAGTCCTACTTGTAGGATCAATACTATTTCTAGACTTTATTCTTAAGAACTTTTAGTTTTAGCCCTGCTTGAACTTTTCTACCATTTTAAATTGCTAATCCAATTACTCATCATATTTCCGCTCTTTAGAAAAACTTAAATCTCTAGCTGATGTTTCAGTTTTATTCTAGTTGAGCAAATCCTAGAATTCCTTAATAGTCAACGGGAGGTTTACCAAACTCTTGCCCATGTTCTTGATAGGCATAGTAGACTCAATCAAATCATCTTATACTTTTGAACCAGTTGAAACAATTGTTGGCATTAATGAAGATTGTCTCATTTCATAATAATTAGAGGACTCCTAGAGATAGGTGGTATCCTGCTTTACTGAGAATCTAGAGAGTTATCTATTATAGGATTTTGTAACTATATTACGCCTGCCTCCTTAATTGAAGTTATCCTATCGAGTTTCTTTTCTTACCTCATCCAGTAGAATCTTTGGAAGACCTTGATTACTTTTGAGATTATGATCATAGTTTTAAGTATTGTTATTATCATTTTATTATGTTAGTAGAGTATAATTATGAGTGTCCTCGGAAAAGTTGACTTATGATAAATTATTGCTCTGTTTTCTATATTAGTTCAACTCTCCTTGCCTGCTGGTAATAAAAGGATTAGTTAGAGGAGAAAACAGTGTCTCACCTCAGGCTGTATTTGGAACATGCTAAAGTATATCAAAGAATGATTATTCTGAATCTTCCACTTTGATAACTGGCCTTAATTTTGACAAACTAGTCTTCTGCTTTCCTTTTTAAAGCAATTTTTCATAATTTTATAATGTTTTCTTTAGTTTCTCTTACTATTTTGAGTTTGATTACTCTTCTCCACTTTGTAAAGTAGCATTTGCAAAGAAGTTGGTTTAAGTTTTGCTTTCTTAATCATGCTTTGATTTGATGTCTGCCTTTAGAATTGAAGAAGTATTAAACATATTTTTGCTAAAGGTCTCCCTAAGTACCTTATCTTTGAGATACTTGTTGGTTGGCATCTTATTTTAGTTTGAAACTCCATCAATAAATTTATTAGCAATCAGCTTTATCATTGTTGGTACTTCTTCCATCTTAGTTAACTTTTAAGCAAATTAGACATCTTAAACAAGCACCTCTGCATCAGATGGTTATAATAACTACAAAGCATCTTTTTGAGAAGTTTAATTTATCTTCTACCCCTAACTATTGGTTTAATAGACCTAATTAGATCCACTAATAACTACTAGCTGTTCTACTTTTGGATTCAAGCTAGATGAAGAACCCTATTTTTTCATTAACTTTTTTTAATTTAAATAATTTCCAAATTTAAAATAGCATTAGAATATTGGGGTTTTGGGGTTTTGGGGTTTTGGGG